AACAAACAGAGACTCATGGACATGGACTATAGACTAGTGGTTACCAGAGGGGAGGAAGGGGGAGGGAGACAGGATAAGGGGGGTCAAATATGTGGCAACAGAAAGCTATCTAACTATGGGAGATGAACACACATTGTAAATATATATATATGCCTTACTGTTAAAGTGTATAGCTGAAACTTTTTTGATTTTGTTAATTAATGTCATTATAAAAAAAATAATAAAATAAAATAAAAAGACTAACAATCTAAGCCTTGCTAAAGATGTGGAGCAACTAAAAACCTCTTACAACACAAATGGGAGTACAGTGGTCCCCATTATCCATAAGGGATACATTTCAAGACCCCCACTGGATGCCCAAAACCTCAAAGGTACCGAACCTTATATACACTATGTTTTTTTCTGTACATCCAGGCCTAAGATAAATTTTAATTTCTAGATTAGGCACAGGAAGAGATTAACAATGATAACTAATAATTAAATAGATCAATTACAATAGTATAGCATAATAAAAGTTATGTGAACATGTCTCTCTCTTCCCCAAAATATTCTATCATACTCATCTTTCTTGTGATGATGTGAGATAAAACGCCAAAGCTATCCCTGAGTCTGTAACTCTCCCTTATTTTCAGTAAATGGTTTGGTGTCACTCCTTTCAGGGGACCCCTTGCTGAAGTCTTTGTACAGGCTCAGCGCTTTCTGACGCAACAAGTTGCCATCAGTCAGAACATGTTTTTCGTTCATGCCTGCCACCCACGAAGTTAAAGACTCTTCCATCTTAACGAAGCCGTTATCACCCACAGTGGCCACAGCTTTTGTGGTCTGAAGTGCCACAACGAAACTAGCACAAGCTTCTTTTTCCTTCTTCACAATTTTATGGACAGAAGATTCGTTCTGACTGTAGATCTTAGCAACCTTAGCATACAATTTTTTTCTTTTCTTACTTACTAAATCTAGAACTTTCTCCTTTTCACTTAAAGGAAGCACTTTAAGGATCCTCTTTGGCATATCTGAATTGCCAATAGCTCTGCTCCTATGGTTTGTGGGGATTATTAAGTAAAATCAGGGTGACTTGAACACAAGCACTTCGATACTGAGATGGTCGATCTGATAACTGAGATGGCTACTAAGTGACTAATGGGCGGGTAGCTTTACAGCGTGAATACACTGGACAAAAGGATAATTTGCACCCAGGCAGGATGGAGCAGAATGGTGCGAGATTTCGTCATGCTACTCAGAATGGCATGCGATTTAAAACTTATGAATTATTTCTGGCATTTTCCATTTAATATTTTCACACCATGGTTGAACTCAGGTAGCTGAAACCATGGAAAGCGAAACTGGAAGAGGAGGAACTACTGTGATATATTGGTGTAAGCCTTCTGAAGTGCCATTGGATAGCATCTGCTAATGTATTCCCCATGAACCAGAATTTACATTCCTAGGTAGGTACTCAAAAGAATTGCATATCTATTTCTGTAATATTCTGTAAAAATATTCTGTGAAAGATATTTACAAGAATATCCACAACAGCTCTATTCATAATAGCTCAAAACTAAATGCCCCTCTATATTATAATGGATTAAAAATTGCGCTATATTTACATAATAGAACAGAATCAAAATAAACCCAATACACACTAAGAACTGATGAATCTCACAAACAAAATGGTGAGCAAAATAAGTCAGACAAAACTGAGGGATTGATCTACATTAAATTTAAGAATTTCTGTTCCACAAAGATACCTTAGTTGCACTTGATGAGGATAATAACACAGAGAAGGGTTCAAATGTTGGCCAGAATAACTTGGGCTAAGACTATGTCAAGTTCAGATAAGGAAATAGATGCCTCATCTCTGCTGTCTCCATCTGGACCTGTTACCCAAGTTCTTCCTTCTGAGTCACAGATGGAAGTGCATAGAGCAACAGCAGCAGGCTCAGAGCAGTGCCTCCCTGAGAGTCTGCGAGTAGAACAAGAATCCCACTTGAAAATAGCAGTGCCCTTCCCTCTCCGTAGGGACTTGGAGACGATTAGTCTCTGTTCCCACTAATGAGAACACTGAGGCCTCCAAACCCGGTAAATATTCCCAGCGCGAACCGCCTCAGGCCCTCTCAGTTCCATTTACTGCAACCCCAGAAATCTACTCCAGCTGCCTGCAACACCGGATTTCATTTCCATTCCATAAGGGGAAGAGACGGAGTCTCTAGACAGGACTGTGATGTGAATGTGCCATTGTACAAAAGGCAAGTGTCAAGGCGGCAGAACCTCACTGCTCATAACATCTGAGACTGGTCGAAATCGGTTAGGTAAGTACTGAATCAGACAGACTAGACTTCGAGTCTAGGCTTTACTACTCACCAGAGGCTTCGTTGGGACAAATCACTTCATCTCTTTATATTTCCGTTTCTTATCTGAAAAATAGAGGTTTTATCTCATAAGATAGTGAAAATACAATAAGATAAGCAAAACGCTTTTAGCACAGTGCCTGGCAGGCTGTTAACAGTCAATACTTGTTAACTCTTCTTCTTGCTATCGTTGCTGTGATCATTGTGATGTTTTGTTATTTATTTACCACAGCTAATAGATGACAGAGGCAGGACTGACGGCCAGGTCTGTGTTAGCCCAGAGTGTGCACTCTTGAGCACTAAGTCATTCTGCCCCTTATTATGGAGGGAAAGACTCAAGAGAATAAAATTACACTGGAAAATCAGGAGGCAGCTATTCTATGTCTTTCTGGAATGCCATGCCTCTTAACTGTTCTCTTTCCCAACTTGGTTCCCATGTTCTGTGTGCAGATATATCTGAGTTTCTGTTCCTCTTAATGAAAGTTACACAAGGCTGGGGTGGCCAGGATGCTGCTCTCTTCCCAACTCTACATGAACTTCAATTTCTATGTGAACTTTTATCTTCAGAGCCCCAAACTAACTGGCTAAACTCTCTTGACGACCAACTCCAAGTCTTGAAAAGACAACCTGACTGACTCAGTTTCAATCAGCTGATTCCATGGTTCAGTCGCCTGTGGTCAAAGAGCCCAGGTCATATTTCATGCAATTTACCATCTTGCTGACTATTCTTCCGTCACCCTGGTCTTCCCATGCTGGCCAGGCCCTTTTTACTAGCTCTGGACTTTCACATATGCTGGAAAATCTATATCCTTACTTTTCTTCCTTTTATTCTTGATGCTGCTAATTACTAATTTGGCTCCTGAATTATATTCACTTTTCTTGAAGAAGTTTTCCCTGAGCTCTAATCTAAATTTGGCCCTCCAATTATACTTTCTCAGTGATAGTCTCTTTTATTCAGTACGAATCAGAGCTTCTTACTGTATGTTTACCTGTTTAATTGTTTATTGTCAGTATTGCCAATTAGCTTGTAAGTACAGGGACTGTGCCTGTTTTGATTAACCCATAGGCACTCCTGGCATAAGGTAGGCAATCAATAAATATTTGAATAGATGAAAGATCACAAACATGGCTCCCCAGACCCACTATGGAGGCATCTAAAAGATGTATCTACTCCATGGAGTTATATTCCCAAAGTAGTTGACAAATATCTATAGCAATCATGAGAAAATAAAGGTCTGCCTGCCTTAGGAGGTAGAACTGCATAATGGAATAACTTCAGGTTTGGTAGAAGAGCGATCATAGTTTTAATATTGACTTATCTTCTTATTAGCTGTCTGATCTTAGGCTGGTCAGTTAGCTTCTCAGAGCTCTCTGTTTCCCGATATGAAAAGGTAAGGTAAATATACTTAGCATGCAGTTTGTATGGATTAAATGACAGACGTCATTGGCACATAGTAAACATATCGTAAATGATTTTATACCTACGATCCTGCAAATGGTCCCTGAAGCCTTTGCCTTTTTCATTCTCCTCCTAGGAATAACTGAGAGTTACTCATATCTCTGGCACCTCTCTTCTTAGTCTTCTTGTGTTTACAGGACATTCCGGAAATTCTGTCATTTGAGAAATAGTCTAGAGATCATTTCTTCGATTCTCTTAGCTATGCAATTTTTAAATGGTCCCAGTTGATAAAGGAAATCACCTTAATTCTTTCCTGTTTATTTCAGAGAAGTTTACTATTTCTATCTCTGAGGCTACAGCTGCTGGAGGAGTGAAAAGCTTTTTGCTCTAGAGCCCAGATCCACCCATTACAGTTCCCTGGGCAAGTCACTAAACTCTCTAATACACAGCCAAAGCCATCCACTTCACTCTATCCCCCTACCCTGAATCCCATATGTGTTTTCTTGCTCACTGTTTACACTCATGTCCCTACAATCCTTCTCTCCACAGTAGCAGAATGATCTTTTCATACCAAAAATCAGATAATGACTGTTGCTTAAACACCTGTCCACACCCTCAGGCCTCTGTACTGAGAATGTGGACTCCATGGTCTTATGTGACCTCCTCCTGCCCACCTCCTCAGTCTCTTCTCCTATTACTCTCCATGCTCACTGTTTACACTCATGTCCCTACAATCCTTCTCTCCACAGTAGCAGAATGATCTTTTCATACCAAAAATCAGATAATGACTGTTGCTTAAACACCTGTCCACACCCTCAGGCCTCTGTACTGAGAATGTGGACTCCATGGTCTTACGTGACCTCCTCCTGCCCACCTCCTCAGTCTCCTCTCCTACCACTCTCCATTGCTCACCATACTTGAACCATACTTGCCTTCTTCCTGCTTCTCCAAACACATGTGCTCATCCCATATTTGCAATTACTTTTCCCTGTATCAGAAACACAATTCCACTCAATTCTTTTCTTGGCTGGCTCCTTGCTTTCCATTCCTCCATAGTTCCTTGCTGACCACACATTTAAAATAATCTGCTAGTTATCGTATTTTGTTTATATTTTAGCACTTTTTTTTGGTTTGTTCGTGTGTCTATTATATGTCTCCCGTGATTAGAATATTATCTACACAAGAGCAGAGACTTTGCTGTATTTGGTAGCATTGAAGTGTCATCTTCCATTTTACTCCGAGGTTACACCAGCAGCATGAAGCCAGGAAACCGCACATTTGATGTCTCTGAATTCCTCCTCCTGGGCCTGTCTGAGCAGCAAGGACAGCAGCCTCTCCTCTTTGGCATCTTCCTGGGCATGTACCTGGTCACTGTGGTGGGGAACGTTGTCATCATCCTGGCCATTGGCGCTGATCCACACCTCCACACTCCCATGTACTTCTTTCTGGCGACCTTCTCCCTCACTGACCTATGCTTATCATCTACCACGGTACCCAGAATGCTGGTGAACATTCAGGCTCACAGGCGTACCATAACCTACACTGGATGCCTCTCTCAGATTTACTTCTTCCTGTGGTTCATTGGTCTAGATGTTTTCCTCCTGGCGGTGATGGCATATGACCGGCTTTTGGCTATTTGCTACCCGCTTCACTATACCTTGGTCATGAATCCCAAATGCTGTATCCTGCTGGTGGTCATGTCCCTAATCCTCGCTCATTCATACTCTCTAACCCACACCCTTCTCTTGGCTCAACTGTCTTTCTGCACTGACAACATCATCCCCCACTTCTTTTGTGAACTTCTCTCCTTGTTGAAGCTCTCTTGTTCCAATACTTATGCCAACCAATGTGTGCTGATCTACTGGGGAGGGGCATTAACCATCCTGATCCCCTTGCTAATCATCATTTCTTATGTCCGGATTGTGGCTGCCATTGTGAATGTCCCATCGGCAACGGGGAAGTGGAAGGCCTTCTCCACCTGTGGCTGCCACCTCTCTGCAGTTTGTTTATTCTATGTGTCTGCTATTGGGGTGTACTTCATTCCCTCCACGGCCGATTCCACCAGCAAGGACAGGATTGCGGCAGTGATGTATGCTGTGGTGACTCCCATGCTGAATCCATTCATCTACAGCCTGAGAAACAAAGACATGAAGAATGCCTTGGGGAGACTCCTGAGTAGAAGAGCAATGATATCCCCATGAGACCAAAGGCATTATTTTTGAAATTTAGGGGAAGTCAACTCAGAGTTATATTGGTATCTATGTCCAAATCCTGCATCTGCCACTTGATAGCTTTCAGATTGAGATCAAATTACATAATCTTATTGAGCCACAATTTCCTCACTCATCGAAGGAGGTAATAAAATATTCTCTGTCATGCAGTGTTTCTGGGTGAGTTAGAAGGAAAAAAAACCCCTATCTTTCTATATGTAAATGTACTCGTTCCAGGTTATATGCTTAGATCTTCATTATCTTTGGCAATATTCAACATATTCCTTTGAGGTAAATATTTTCGTTGTACAGAAGAGAAGACAAAGGTTCAAAAAGGTTAAATTATTTGCGTGAAGTTACACAGCTAGTAAGTGGCAAAGCCAGAATTTAAACCCAGATATCTGATTCCAAAATGAAAACACTTAATAGTTACACTATGGTTAAATGGACGTGAAACCCACATATTCCTCTCAGTCACTAGTGTCCTTTCTTTTCTTGCTTCTCTCATACTATTGACATACACAGTTCCAATTAACTTCTTCCAATACTAGCAAATGTATTGAAGATGAGGCAAAGCAAATAAAAACCTAGAGGATGGAAGTGTAAACAGCCTCAGAGATTCTAGTATCTCCCCAAGGGAGCACACTCTCTGCTTGAACATAAATCTCTAATTAGAAATGGCTAATGAATCAAGCCACATGATCAGAGAGGAGGGTTCTTGACCACATTACTTGGGGCTCTCATGTATCTTTTACAGAAACATTATTCTTCAGTCCATGTTTAGATCTATTTTAAAAAATAACTGCATTAATTTTATTATTGCATCGCCCCTGTGAATACTGCTTAGACTATACCTAAGCCCAACAACCTGCAGAAAGTTTTTCAGTAACCCACAGGAGAAATTTTGTAAACTGCACTATACTCTGTCAGTTTCTTTCCTACATAACTGTGGTTCTACTGAAATCTCGCTGACAAGCTCAGATAGTCTATTTTAAAAAATAACTGCATTAATTTTATTATTGCATCTCCCCTGTGAATACTGCTTAGACTATACCTAAGCCCAACAACCTGCAGAAAGTTTTTCAGTAACCCACAGGAGAAATTTTGTAAACTGCACTATACTCTGTCAGTTTCTTTCCTACATAACTGTGGTTCTACTGAAATCTCACTGACGAGTTCAGATTTTTAAATAGTTTTTTAAAAATGACAATAAGACTTATGTTGGAGTCAGAAATACTTGAGCTTATATATTAGATCTACCACTGTATGACTGTCAGCAAGTTATTAACATCTGAGTCTCAGTTTCCAAATATAAACAAGTGAATTTAATATTAACTATAGTAACCAGCATGTAATGCTGTTGTGAGAATTCAAAAAGATAACACATATAAAGTGTTTAACACAATGTTTAACGTATGCTATAATCTGTAATTACTGCTTAGAATACAAATCATACCCAATTTTCTCTTCTCAATCTTCTCTTCTCATCTTTTCCCTTTCCTTCTCTTCCCTTCCAACCCTCTCAAAGAGAAGCTTGACATTTGCCATTTTAAATGCACACGGTGACAAGTGCACCCTAACCTTTGTCCTAGCAAATGAATCTCTAGCACTAGGAAATTGCCTCCACCTTTAAAAAATACTGGGGATGTGTCTCAATACTGATGCTTTATCATGGCCCTGGCCCACCTTCTCCTTGAATGGTGCATGCGGTTGTAATTATCTGCTATTACCCTGCCTTCTCACAATGGCATCACCACATCCCTGACTTTTCCTGCTGCCAGAAGTCTAGTCAAATGCAGATTTCACCACCGTTTCTTGCTTTCTAGTGTTTGAAGATAAGTTGAATTATTAGCATGCAGTGACCAATGAATTTGTGGCCAGGGATCATTTTAAGTGGCTGCTTCCAGTTTGCATACATTATAAATTTGACATCAAGGAAATGACTGGAGACTCTGAGATCAGGGACATTAGATTATCATGTCACCTCACCTAAGGGCAATAGCTGCTCATTTTCCTTTCTTGACATAAATCTGTACCTTTCTGTACCCATTCCATATTCTATTCCTTCTGCCTTGAAAAACTTTCTATTTTCTGTTTTGCAACAACCTACCCTCAATTCAAGACCCATCACGGATGTTAGCTTTTGAGTGAAGTCTTCCTCCTGGATTCATCTTACCACAGGAAATTATTAATTCACTTCTATGTGTACCCACAGATCTTTGCAACTTTCTTTATAAAACATTTGTCTCACTCTCTCATAAATATCTGTTAATATTTATGTGTATGAAGGGCATATACTTAGCTGCTTGAAGATAGAAATAGACAAATGAAGAGAACAGGATAGAAAAGAATACTCAGAAATAAAAATTTAGTCTGTGATAAAGATAAAATTTCAAGTTGCTTGTATAAATGTGCATTGACATTTGCTATTTTAAATGCACAAGGTGACATGTCCACTCTAACTTTTGTCCCAGTGAATGAATCTCTGGTACCAGGAAATTGCCTCCAGGTTTAATAAATGTACTGGGACAAATGGGTAGTTACTCGGCATGTAAGTACTAGAAGGAAACACGATAAATTCTTCTTTAATTTCAATGTAGAAAACAGCTTTTATTCAAAATCAAGAGGTAATAAAATTTTGATAAACTTGACTATGTACTTAAAACTTTTCATGACAGAAAGTGAGAAACAACTGACACATGGAAAAGATATTTTCACTGTATATCACGAATAAAGACAAATGTCACTTAAACCAAGAGACCAAACAAACATTACCAGTAATAAAACATACCAACACTATTTACTTTCTAATATGATATAATAACAAGGATACAATTATGCTTTTGCAATATATCACAATGGTATAATTTGAGTTCAATCATGAGGAGATATCTGACAACTCCGAATTGAGGTACAGTCTACAAAATAACTGTGTGGTGCTCTTCAAAACTGTCAAGGTCATGAAAAACAGAAGAACTATGCAACATTAAAGGAAATTTTAACAGTGAAATACAATATGTCATCCTAGGGTGGATGGTGGACCTGAAAGAGGACATTTCTGGACAAGTGACACAATTTAAATGAGGTCTGCTGAGTATTTAATAGAATATTCTCAATACTAATTCCTTGAGTTTGATAATTGCACTGTAGTAATTGAGGAAGCTGGTTATAAGGTAAATAAGAACGCTTTTTACTAGTTTTTGCAAAATTTTGCAAGTCTAAAATTATTTCATGATAAACTGTAAAAAATTAAAACCAGAAATTAAAGAAGGAATTAATAATAAAATATGTAGGGAAGCCATAAATATTTGAAAATTAACAATCACACTTCTAAAAAAAACACATGAGTTAAATAATAAATCACAAGGAGAGTAAGACAATATTTGAATCTGCAAGATATTGAAAAGACAACATATCAAAGTTGACAAGCTTCAGTTAAAGCAACGCTTTAATGAAAATTTATCACTTAAATACTTACATTGAAAGAGGAAAAATGCATCAAATAAATGATATAAGGTTCTACATTAGGAAGCTATAAAAGGAAGGACAAGACATACTAAGCGTAAACAGAAGGAAGAAAATAATAAAGATAAATGCAGAAGCCAATGAAATACAGTACTGATAAGAAATAGAAATAATTAACAAAAATGAAGTTGGTTTCTTAGAAAGATCAACAAATTGATAAACAGCTACTAGACTAATTGGGAAAAATGAGAGAAAACAAATTAATTAAATCAGAAAGGAAAGGATTATCACTGCTAAGTGATGAAATAAATTCCTTGAAAAACATAGCTATTCAAAACTGACACAAGATTGGATAGCTCTATGAATACACTTATAACCATTTAATTGTACACTTTAAATGCATGAATTGTATGACATGTGAATAATATTTCAATAAACAAGTTACCAACAAAAAATTAGGTGGTACCTCATACCTGTTAGAATGGCTATCATCGACAGCACAAGTAATAACAAGTGTTGGAGAGGTTGTTGGGGAAAAGGAACCCTCATACACTGCTGGTGGGAATGTAAATTAGTACAGCCACTAGGGAAAATAATACAATATGACCCAGCAATCTCTCTTCTGAGTATTTACCTAAAAAACTTGAAAACATTTATCCGCAAAGATATATGCACTTCGATTATTTATGGTGGCCAAGACATGGAAACAACTGAAGTGTCCTTTGATAGATGATTAGATAAAGAAGATGTGGTACACATGTACAACGGAATATTACTCGACCATAAGAAAAGATGAAATATTGCCATTTGTGACAACAGGGTGGATCTTGAAATTATCATGCTAAGCAAAATAAGTCGGATAGAAAAAGTTAAGAACTGTATGATTTCACTCGTATGTGGGATATAAAACCGAAAGCAACAAATGAACATGACAAACAAAAACTTATAGACAGAGAAAACAGTTTAGTGGTTACCAGAGAGAAAGGGGGGGAAGTGGTGAGATAAATAAGGGTAAACCGGGTCAAATACATGGTGATAAAAGGAGATTTGACTTCAGGCAGTGAACACACAATGCAATACACATGTGAGATATTATCGAATAGTACACTTGAAACCTATATAATTTTATTAACCAATGTCAGCCAATAAATTTAATAAAAAGATAAAGTAATTGTTGCTTAAAAAAAATTAAGTGGTATAACAGCAAACTAAAGATACAGAAAAGAAGATTAGTGAACTCATAACTGAATCGTAAAGAGAAAAGAGACGGAAAGAGAATACATAACAGAGCCTAAAGACCATGAGGAAAACAGCGGAAAACCAAAGAGAGAGAACTCTTAAATACAGCAAGAGGGAAGTTAGTGCAAAAGTAGCAAGAACAAAACTGAAAGCTGATAAAAGTGGAAATACAAATACCACCATACCCCTGACCTCTGGTGAAACAACGCTCAGTTACATTTTATATGGCTTCTCAGAGGGTAGCTAGAAGGATTGAGTACAGTTGCTCATCCATACGTTGTTGCATC